ATCGGTAGAGCTAAATTCTAATTACCAAATGTGGTACAGGCCGATGTCGCTGTAATTGTTCCTACAATCACCGCAATCGTTGTCCCGGCCTTTACATATCGGCAAGTTGTGATAACTTCACGCCGCGTGGCCTGCGTAACCCGGACGTGGAGCCTCTTATGTCCGCGCGCCCTCAGGTTGCCCTAACACTTTTTTCACACGAGCAGGCTAGGGTTGGCAAGAAACACAATGTTACGGTAGCTTTTGTGTTTCATTACGGTACATGCATGTCGAAACTTCGATGAACTGAAAAATTCTTTTCGCGATTTTACGAACCTCTCGATTTAATGAATTGAGCACGGTATTAACTTTGTTAAATAGCTTCAACTATATATTATTATTATTATTATTATTATTATTATTATTATTATTATTATTATTATTATTATTATTATTATTATTATTATTATTATTATTATTATTATTATTATTATTATTATATCAACTCGATTAGAGGCCGACCAACAGCCAACCATCTCGTTGGTCATTGGCGAAGGAATTCCTTCTTGCTATAACGTAAGGGAGACAAAAGAGACAACACAATGCGAAACATGGCGAAAAAAAGAATGTAGAAGGAACCATAGGTGGAAAAAGATCCAATTTTTGGTCATCAAATGGTCGTGTACTGCAATGCCCAGTCGTTTTGTTCACGAAAGTGCGAAGTGTCGATTTTCCTTCCGCGGCGTGGAATGCCGTGAGTAAATCTTTACTTGTGTGGGTATGGGTTCATATCATCAATGGTTTGTACGCACGCAGCATGTGTGAAATTTAGTAACCAATATGTTCGTATTTTGCCACACAAGTATATGATTCGGAAAGAAAGGAACCTATAGAGTAACCCGTGTCGCGCGTATTAGCCTTATTATGTGAGTATATGTCTGATATACTCCATATTTTTGTGCAAGCATTCTTGGTGATATTTGAAAAAATCATTTCGGTAATAAGTACAATGACTGCTGGGGTCTTGCATTCCAAAGCTCCTCCACTATGGCGTCCTATGAGAGACGCCATAGTGGAGGGCTCCGGAAGTTCCGACCACTGCTGATCTAAGCACAGGGGCCTCCTGCATTCCGCGGCCATCTAAATGCGGCTGCCGCAGCCAGGATTCGATCCCGCGACCTTCGGGGTCAGTTTTCAGTGTTGGCGATGTCATCCGACGCGGAATCAAGCTGTGCCGGCTCGTCTGAACTTACCAGTGACAAGTTCAGCGATGATCGCACCTACTGTCTGAGCACGGAAGCATCGCTTCGTGATTTCGAGCCGCAGGCACGTGAAGCATCTCGCATGTCCCGAATCGATTTCCTCGTTGTTCAATATTGTAATACCCAACGTCAACGATGACTAACAAGCTGCATGCAGCTGACAAGGCTGAACTGTGCTTGCGTTGTCACCTCGTTGAAGAAAGCGCGCGCTGCATCCGTCTGCTGGGAAAGCTTGCAGTATGGGCCTGCATGGTTTTGGAAAAAGAGTAGACGCTTACCATGCCCTTAGTAATGATTGGTGGCTGCACCTTTATGTCGCATACTCAGGATGGTCCGAGTTTACAAGTATGGTTCCAGAATCAGCTACCAGTTTTAAAATTTATTCAAAAAAAAACTGATTGCCCTGCGGTTGTATAGTTTGGCGCTTACCATTACGGTACCAACTTGAACACATGTTCAAAGTTTTATTGAAATCGGTGAATATAGAGGAAAAAAAAAAAAAAACGCTGACGTTCCCTGCAAGGCAGTTGTGCGTGGCGGCAGCTGGTAGACGCTAAAAGAACGTCCTCATTGCGCGGGTAGTTTGAATTGTTCCCTTCTTCTCGCGGCTGTTCTTTTATCGTGACAGCTCGTACTTTGAAACAACTGAAACGCTTGTTTACTTGAGTAAAGCAGTAAATAAGACTAGCGTGGCTATAATAATAGTTTTTTTGTGGTGTCAAGCTACAGCTACAGCTTGTCTAGCTGACCGATGCTGTCCAAGTACGAAAATAAAAGTTTTGTGGCACGCCTCTGTAAAGTGGGACAGGCTAAAGGTCCCATTGCACAGTCAAGGGAGAAAGTTCTCTCGGCTATAGAATGCATGGAATGACGCAACGCTCCATTTTTGTACGCAACGCTTCATTGACAACGTACCGGTTTTCGGAACGGTTAACTGCACGTATGGTGTCCGTACCGTGTCACTTCGTGCCTTCCTGTTTTAACCTAATAATAAACGCGTGCGTTGCGAATCTATTTGTCACAGATTTTTTTTTTTTTTCAGCTGAATCTCTCACGAACCATAGGCACGCGGCATGTCAATCTGCGACTCTCTCATTTCCCAGTACCTACTGAAAAGCTGAATTACTCTTGGCGCCAATGTGTTTCTATTTAACACCAAACGAAGCCAGAGAAAAAACTTACCTGTACTCTCTTCGTATTCGACCGAATGAAAATCGCGCACTCTTGATACCTTGACGTTCATGTCCACGTCACAAAATAAAAAGATCACAGCATATCCAAGGAGTCAATGATGATGAGTGGGGCGAAACGTCCATGCGTCCGTCCACGCACCCGTCCTTGCGTCCATTCATCTGTCCGTACATCCGTCTGCCCGTCCACCCATGCGTCGGTTCGTGCGTCCATCCGTCCGCCCATACTTCCTTCCCTGCGTTCGTTCACGAGCTTATTACACGAACTTCGATTGGACCAACGTCATGTAAGAAATGAGACGATAAATGTTGATAAGACAGCGCCATCTATTATACTGTTCGGAGTATACTGCCAGTTACGCCTGACGCAGGACAAGGTTAGACAAGAGGAGCCAGCTTCGCCCTTAAAAATACAAATGCAGCTCGACCACTGTGATACCTGAGGAAGTGCGTAGCACGGTCACACAGCGATTCTCGTTCGTAGAGGTCCCACTGCTTCGTTTACCCAAGCGCCGATGACGCCAACGTTTGAGGCAAGCATGTAAGGTTTCCTCAATATGGAGATTCGCAAAATCGGTGTGCAACATGCGCAGTGCTTCTGCGTTTTAACGACTTCCTGCCCGTTTCGAAAGTTGAGGTGCGTGTCTTCTGCAGCGAGTTCTGCCAGGCTGTTTCCCATTCGGATGTAGTGTCTAAGCTGTGGTCCAAGAGCCGGCGAAGTGCAAGTGGGAGGGAGGAGCAACGATGCCAAAGTGGTAGGTGTTCTGTGACGATGTGCTCTGTGAGGCGGCGCCCTCTCCGTTTTTGACCTGGCCCATTTATTTCAACCCGGTTTTCAGTACTGCTAGTTTTAGGTCTGTATTGAGCGCTTGATTGCGACACGGAGGGCAAAAAATATCTAGGAGGTGCAACTCCATTGCATAGTAATACCATAACATTGTCACATTGCATTTCATGCTGGTGGTGTCTTGCGGCAGAAAAGGGTATTGCCGTCGTTTCGGTTTTCGAGAGAACCGGTCGCGCGCGTTGCTCACGTTCTGCCGCAGTCACATAATGTCCCTAGATTTTTTCCTGTGAAAAATCTAGGGACTATACAGCCACGGAGTGAGGACGTGGAGCGCGTTCGGCCACACTCGCCCGGTAGCGAGCGCTGCTTTTCTTTTTTTTTAACCCAAATTCATTTCTTAGTCGGGCTATGTCAGTCATCCGGCGTTGTCCGCAGCACCGCTCTTACTCCCTTCCCCATAGCAACAGCTGCAGGCGCGCGCTCATCATCGCCCCTGGCAACCGGAGCATGTGTTGCGATAGTGTAGGAGAGGGCAGGTGCAGTGTTTCGCCACTGCTTCTATCGCCGTTCGCTCTCTCTCTTCCCTGCGCCCGCTTTGCCGTCCGCTCGCTCCTCACTCTTGACCGTTCGCTGGTTGGGCACCTTTCAAGAACATCCGGAAATGTGTGCTCGAGGCGCCGCTGTGAAATGCAAACGCTGAGAACGCTGTTTTGTTTACTTCATAGCATTTTTTTAACCGTGCACGCTAGCTACTAGAGCTGGAAACGCACACCGCATTTCTCGCGACAGAAGAACGCCACGTGCGGCGAACGGCTCTATTGGCTGCACGGTGTAATAAAACAAAATAAAACTTTTTCTAACGATGGGTTCTCACGTGCGAAACGCCGTTATGGACGCTACGCAATGTATTTTCTAACGATGCCCTTTGGGGAGGTGGGGCATTTTTTTTTTCGTGGTTGGAACTTTGCGCCGCAAGACACCATTAACTGAAATGTCTCCGTCAGAGCATGTTATTTTTGTATTTCATGCGAAGTTATCTGTACGCCTGTTCCGACGGGAGTTTCACCTCCTAAATATTTCTTCCTCCGTGGATTGCAGGCTTGAAGTCAGGAGGGGGGACTAGGGAGCCCAGCCGCGAGCCCGCCCTTCTTCCATAGTAGCACTGCGGTACCCATTTGAGGGGCATTGAAGTTGATTTATTTACAGTAGTGCTTTGTGCAGAGAAATAACTAATGTGTAAACTTGTATGACATTCATATATGCATTTACTGAAGTCTAGAGACAGCTGACTTCACTACACTGTGATCATTCATACCGAACACCTAGACAGTCGCAAATTACGCTTCGTGAAATTATATATATATATTGCCACTCTATGAAGGCCCAAAACAAACAAGCCACAAGCCAGGCTTCTAAAGTGTTACACACTTAAAAGTGCCCTGAGATATTGAAAGATCACTTACGGCTGTTTTGCCATGCCTGCAAACTCATTCGCGCGAAATTGAAAGCACGATCACACTTTCCGCTCCACAACGAAAGCCAGGACTGAAGTCAAAAGCTTCATTCAGAAGTTTGTGCGCACGTGTGTGCCATGTATGGGCTTCATTGCAAATAATGTAATGTTCTAACATTCATAATGTCACTTTCCAGACAATTTTCAAGCAATCTGCTTCTCTTTGCTCAGAATCTTTTACAGGAACCACAAATAATTGCGAAATCAGTAAAGTCATGTACTGAAGGAAGAAATTATATGTGTAGTTGAGACGATTGAATGACACAGAATGACATGTACGTACGTATTTATTTTCTCAAAAGGCTCCAATGCTTTGGATGCCGTGTCTTGTGGAAATAACGCTTCAGTATGCACGCGAGGAGAAACAGCAAAAGGCAAAGAAGAAAAAGAAAAATACACGCTGCTGCGTACACTGCAAGCACGCGCTTGGTTCCCGTGCTAGCAATATAAGTAGCACACACACCTTACACATAATGGGTCTTAATAACCGATGCTCAAAGAACAAACTCTCTCTTAAAACACACATTTCGTAAACACTTTGTTAACAATAGGGGGCAATGTGAGAAAAAAAAAAACAAGAATTACCATAGACACCTAAAGAGAAAGGTGACACACAAAATGTATCAACCAGCCCATACACACATGCACACATGAGAAAAGTCGGACTAGCTTTGTTTGTTTGTTTTTCTTTTTCTACAGCTCTGCATCATCGATCACTGCGGTGGTAAAAAAGGCAGGCAGTCAAAAAACGGCAACTGATTCAAGAAGCAACAAGCACAGCACATGCGCACTGATCAAACATGATTAGTGCAACATATGGAAGTAGTAGCATTCAATGTCACAGCCTCTGATATTTCGATATGTGCACAGTACGACAGGCCCTGGGCTGAATGGAACTGGCAAGAATGATGAGCAGAAACGCAGATGCATTTACCACCCAAACCTCACCAAGAGTGTGCTTTAATGCTGGAAGCTCTGAAAAGCCTGCAGAGGGAAGACACCACTGAAGCAAACTTGTTTCAAGGAAAACAAACAGCACCAGATGCTCATCCAAACACACACATCTTTAATGCTAGCAGTTTGCGTCATACAGTTTAAATTATGCCACTAGACTTCTACAGAGACAAAATCATTGCACCAATTAAAAACAGTATAGCCAAAATCTAAGTAAACAGACGAGTCGGACACCTCTATATGTATCCATGTGTATGTGTGCACGCACACATTCCGAATGAGAAACTCTGGGTGGTTGAACACTCAACTTACCCTGCTTCCTGGCAATGCCTGTCACCTAACTGTGCCACTAATTTTCATAACATAATGCTCAAATTTAAATGTCTTTACTTGACTCCAGTGCCCTACTAACAATAGGGCTAGATGCTTAGAGAAAGTTGATGCCTCTGCTATGGTGTCCAAACAACAGCTATTACCAATATCAAAGTGTTACTCTATTCACGCTTGTCACATGCATTTTCTACGATTTCATTCTGTTTTGTACAACTGCACTGAATCGCAAATTATGCAACATGGGTACAATGTTTTGTAGGAGTGCACCACATAATTCCTATTTTTGTGCAATAGCCTTACTTGAAACGCTATTCTGGCCCGGTGTGGCTAAGAGACCAAATAACATGAAAGAGGGCATGAACCTTGGAGTAAGTTTCTGTGATACTCATGACTATGGCCTCGCTTCCACACATTGCCAACCTGTGGATTGACATTGCCATGCCTGTGCATCACGTTCCTTTCTGCACAGGGCCTGCCATACCATCAGGCACACCTGCCGGTCATAGTTACAGCATGCGTAACCCCTGTAGCAGCAAAGCAGTCATCAGGCAAAGCACAAATGTGCACGCGTTGGCGGTGGCCAAATAAACCAAAATAGCTGACCACCGTCGGGGCACTTTCATCTTGACATCTCCTCTGTGAAGTTTGTGCACACCGCAGAGCAGCACACAAAGCCAGCCAGCCTTCCCACAAGTCCAAGGTTTCCTAACAAGGCATCGTGTTTCATCACAAGGAGAGACCACTTCTCGGAAACCAGCAAAGGAAGCAAGCTGGGCTGACATTGAGCTCTTTTTTTTACCAATAAATACAGGGCCGGTGCTAAAAGAAATGTCTAAGAAAAGCAGGTACAAAGCACACCAGTGCCCACCTACCACCAAGAACAAGTAGAACTACTAAAGTAATGACAGGTACACGCTCAACGCTAAATAATTCCAACGGTATGTGCTCCCAGGGAGGCCTTGGGGCTCTCAAAGGCGAACTGAAGCAAACCACCATCTACGAGTAAAGGTAACGAAATTACGATATGTGATCCACTCTCAGCAATAGATGGCTTGGGTATAGTATACGCAAGAGGAAGCTTCATAAACAACTCCTATTAAGGAAAGATGCAGCCTGCCATTTACACTTCAAAACAGATGCATTCATATTGCTGTGCAAAGATTGTGAATACAGAGCAGCTCACATGGAGGCGAGCCCATGTGGTGCAAGTGCAGTAGAAATGAAACACGCAATCAATGTTCTCACTTGATATCAAATGTTCATCAGCAGTGAATGCACAACGAGTACTGTGCATATAAAAGGCTTTCTGAATACTTGCCTCAATAAAAATGGTGCCAGCTATCTGGTAGCATTACAATGAAACACTTTTCTTCCTTCTCCTAGATAACTACAGATGCATTCAATTTGTTGAGCATGTTTCATGCATATAAAATTCTGCACGTTAAAAAAAGCAACCTTGATGCCCCAGAAACAATGAAACCACCAAGGAACATGGCGAAAATGTCGCCTCAGAATGACATTAGTTGTCCTAAAGTTATAACAGGCAATATTGGCTGCAAAAGTACAGCAACCAAGCACTAGGAAGCTAGTTTAAAGCCCTGCCTACGAGGTGAACCCCACTCAAAGTGAATGAAATAACGAGGTGAAAATGAGTTTCTCTACAAACATCAACCTATTGATTTCATGCACATAGCTGAACAGCGGCTGTTCACATTAACCTTTATCATATTCATTTGAAAATTTTCAGGAAACTTTTCATGTTTTTTAAAAGGACTTGGCATAGGCCACTCTTTTTACAAGTTCAGGCTGCAGAACAAATGCAGTCGGGCAAGCTCAATACAAAAACACACAATACTGGATGCAATCAAAGGGACATTAAATAGAAAACTTCTGACAAAGAAAGCATCACGCAAAGGCTGCACTAAGGTTAATTTTGCAACAGCACACGAATTACAAGATTTAAATAAAAGCGAAGGAGGACTCAACAATCTTTTGAAATTTTATGCTGAGACCTCAGTGGTGGTCAATTATATTTCAATTTGAGCAGTCCTGATGACGTAAGGGTTCTAAAACATATTAAGCTCGGTCTCCAGCTTCTAGTTAAAAAAAAAACTCAGAGTAACTTTAGTGACAAAAAAAAACGGTCCAAATAGTTGTCAAAATCTATCACATCATGATGAGGTGCTGCAGGAACATCGAAAGTGATGTTAACACAAGTTTCATCAGCCTTCTAAAAAATAATACTGGTCTATTCTTTTCTTTTTTTTTTTTCTCTCTTCAGCAGAAGTGGAGTTTATCATAACACAGTTGAATTGATTTTTCACTTCAGCGCCCCTTCAAGAGGGTAACGACACATGTAAGCACCTCAAAGCGGCTCAATTCCCTTCCGAAATCGCGCACACAAAAAAAAATCTCAGGAAGAAAAATGCTTCAAACATAAATCATGATGCTTATGAGATGCAGAAAAAGAAAGTACCTTGCCCCAGTTCTAGTGAAACCACCAAAAACATCGAAACAGAAGTGTCCCAGGAACAGCGCACTCCATCCAGCAAACAGCTGCCGCACCCGAGTGCGAGCACTAGCACCTAACAACAAGCGCGCCCAGCCACCACGCCAAGCCAAGGAGGCCCAAGAAAGCCTCAATGTATATGCGGTGCAGCTGTAAAGGCTGCAGGCACAGCAGTACACCCTGTTGCCGAGAGGGGAGGCCGAGCGAGGCACGCAGCGCACTTCCAGGTTTGCCCCGGAGCGAATCCGGGGCAGCACCAGTGTGGAGGCTACTCCACATACCTTGGCGTGACCATTCGAGACAATTTGGCCAACCGTGCTGACAGGCAGACCAAGCACACTGGTAATATGCGTACTGCGGAACCCCGGGGGACCCTAGCCATCTTGAATATTAAGATCAAGAGGTGGCATCCATGTACATTTAGCACTCGAGCTATGTAGTATTGTCACCCAGGTTAATTGGAATGAAACCTTCAAACGGCTGAGAAAAGGGTTAGCCTGCCAACATTTCCTTTATATATACTCAACGTGCACATTTAAGTTTATGCAGCTGAAATTATCGTACTAATTTGAATGAAATTTCTACTGAATATAAACGTGAAGCACAAGCCTGTCGACACTGGCCACGTTGTTAACTGATGTATAGAATGTCCAGCTAAGAAAATATCATGGAAATGTACACTAACTTTTCTTGCAGACCTGTACAAAAGCCTTTTCAGCTCTTGCATCATTTCCAATGCATCGCACAGCAGATACTGAATTTAAAAAACAATGCGAAGCACCTACTCAGCTACAAGGCACACCTTCAAATGTTTTAAACGAGGTGATTGACATCTATATTAATTAACGGAAATTACTGAACACGAGATGCCACTAAAAGCAGTTTGCCCCCTACCCCCTAATTAACTCGTGCTAATTCTCTACAAAAGAGTCAGAACTGGCTCAGTTTTTTTGCAGCAGCAGAAGCATTTAAAGTAGGACTAGTCTGTCCGAGGCGGACATACAAGAATCAGTGTGGCCAACAATGGCAAAATTAAACCTGACCGCATTCCTACGTCTCCTGCTCTTAATTCAATTCCTGGCGCTTGCTTGTCCACTGCTTCATCTGTAAGTTCTGACACCATTTTCACTTGAATATCATGAAAAAGCAAAGCATGGTGTAGCAGAGAAAAATCAATGCTATAAAATTACGTGTACAGTAGTTAAATTTGTCTCCACCAAATGCACAAATTTCTTGGTTGTATCACTTCGTTATGAGGGCCACTGTGTGTTGCTTATTTTTTTTTTTAGAACTGAGGCATCAAAAATGTGAATATGAAATGAAACCTTTAGAGAATAATATTTAGCTGCCAAAATGGATTGCATAATGAAACTACATTTTGATAAAAAGTGTAACACTTCACCGTTGGAAGAAGAAAGTACTATAAGTGGCAAATTTGAATTTTTGGGAGTGCAATATTTCTTACTTCACTGACACAAGGTGAATCCCACTTTTTGTGACCTCTTTTGTGACCATCAAACAAGAAAGTACCATTCATAGAAAGCATTCCCAACAGTCACCTTAGAAAATTATTCCATACTCATTACATAAGCTAATTCACAATTCCCTCTAGGCTTTTCTCAGAGAGTTTGTGTAGATGTAACAAAACTATGATAAATTTACTCCTAGTTACGTGATAACACATCAAAAGAGAGCGATTAAAAAGAAAAGAACGAAAAATTAGAGAAAGTGAGTGATGTGGTGCAATGTTTCGAAATGTCGCCGCAAAATGTTGAAGTGGGGGAATCAACGTAGCATTTAGGCTACGATTAACACATAGCAAGACAGCTCAAAGTGCTACCTAAAAATAGCGAAAGCGACAGAATAATAGAATCTGCTTTCTCGAGATTCTCCGATAATGGAGTGCAACAAAGGGCATGACCTAGCACTCAACTACGCAGAATGAATGGAATATTCCGCAAAAAGAAGATATCAACAGAGATACCAAATAACAGAGATGTTGCGAATGGTGCAACCATTGGATATGAAAGCCTACATCAATCACTGCAAGGTACCCAACATGTTTGCCGCGATATTGCTGTTAATATATCATAGCGAACTAAGCATACCGTCTGACGCTGTAATGGGAGATTCTGTATACTAGAAGTGAACCCCAGAAGAATCGAGATCACAGCATGAATCCCCAAGCAGGGGACGGATAGAGAGCATAGATTGGCTAGATCATATGCATTTACTGAAGACAGCGCAAGTCGGAAAGGAGAACGTGCCTGTACTACCTTCCTTTCTTGACCTTGTTTATGCTATCCCATGCAGACTGACAGCCATTGTTGCCGTGACAGTGCAACTCTGATGGCCACCATGAGATCTAAAAGCCTCAATGGCAATCTTTGCAACAAGTGTTATCTTGACGCCAGCAGTAAGTTTCTGGTATCAAGACGAAAGCTTAGTGGAGAATGGGGAAAATGTCTACTTCCACGAAGATGCACCAAACCAGGACATTTTGCAAGTGAAACAACAGCTACAGGTCGGTGCGAGCAAAGAAAAAAGCTTGCTTGGCCTCCTTGGATAATACAAAGACCCGTACCATGCAGTGCCTGGTTCCCGTGCTGGTTTGAAGAATGCGTACAGTTAAATCTCAATATAACGAATATCTCGTGACTGCTGAAATTAGCTCATCAATCTGAAATACCGCTGCACTGAGAACATGGAGAGTGGCATTAAGAACTAAATTATACCAAAAGGTACCACCTACATTTGAATGCAATACACATGCAATTGTATTTAATTATGCTGATCATAATGACTCTACAAGGTCAAATGAGAATGCACACATTGTGTGATGTTGTTGCTGAAGCACACACAGCTCACGGTGACCTCAAACGCATTGGATTATTACACAATGCACAAATATTTAGTGTTTATTATGTGAATTTTCCCTGTAGACTTTGAGACAGAGCCAAATGTCCGAGTAGCTGCCAGTAGTGCAACACTAAACAAGCTATGATGTTGCAACTGCCCCCTAAAAGCAGCAAAAAGCATTGTTTTCAATGCAGTCTTTTGTATTTTCTCACGCTGATCTTGCTACACCAGACTCGCATATGAACACTGAAGAGAACTTGCCATCAGAAAACATTCAGCAAGATACCTGGTACTAAATTCAATGACCACAAAAAAGCAAGCTGCTGTATTTCATATCTCAAAATATATATGAAAACGAACCACACCCATGAGATGTCTAGAAATAGCTAGAGGTACAACGCAGGCACAAGATGCTGCACTGCAGTTAACGAGAAAATAGCAGACAGATTCGTTCTGCCTGAGCACTTAAGGCCATTCTATCAAAAATGCAGTCACCGAGATGATGGTTTCGAGAAAGTGTGGTGGATGCTTCTAGCAAGAAGCTCAAGCAGTTTTCACTAAGCCTGTAGAATACACAATTTTGGCCCTGCACAAGCCTCCAGCCGCCAAGCGAACGTCTATACCTTGGGTTAAAATATATCAAATTTAACATACCAAATGCGCAAATGCATACATAGAAACAATCATTTCGAACGTCACACAAGAAAATCGAAGAGAATAGGACGCGACAAAAAAGAAGTAATAAAAAGGTGAAGAGCAAACAAAGAGAAAAAAAATACTGAACAACAAGCAAAGGCACAAGCAAATTTTCTTATCGCTCTAAGCCCTAAGCCATTCTGATGCTGATATTTGATGTACCCTCTAAGCGCTTTGATCAGGTATTGGGTATTTGCATTTGATCATCTAAATGTAGCCAGAATGCCCTCCTTGTTGATGATCAAAACAAGATCAGCCTTTCAAGAGATTTAGAACACTCAAAAAATACAATCCAATGATGCCGTTACGGTCCTTTCATGCCGCACAAGCAAAAGAGCAAAGTCACAAGAAAGCTTCGTGCCCTAGTTTACATAGCTCCTCAGATATACTGTACATTCTTGAAGAGTTAACTAGGCAAACACTCAGACTCAATCTTTGATTCCAGTGCCTTGGTTTGAGTGCGTTAGCGAGTCATCTAGCACAGTGGAGGAGTGTGTGCATAGGTATCGCACGCGAAGACACTCTTTTGGACACGAGAAAGCGTCCGTTATTAGAATAGATTAGAAACTCTGCCCACTCAAACATCTCAAATTGTCAAGTTTTCTCCTCCAAGTGCCACTCCTTCCTTAATCGCTGTCCGTGGGATTGCCTGCTGTCAGCAACTGTGCCAAGGTGCCTTGCAGAGGCTGCTACGAGACCAAAGGACCACAATGGCCAGTGGTTTTCGATTTCAAACCAAGCATGGCATATCCGAGAGATGCACCGTACCATTTGCTCAAGATGACGTAGGCAAAAAACACACTCAAACATGTGAATCCCTTAAAAAGTGTGCTTCTCTCAATAGGAGACCACGCGGAACATACAGAAATAGCGTAATACTTCAAAACTCTCCTATAGCCAAGTGTTAGTGTTTCTCGGAAGCGCAAGGCAGTGCACGCAATAACATTGTATCTAACATTGCACAAATGTTGTTGCAGAGCTGCTGCAGCGGCGGCATTCAGTGGTGTGTTGCTAAGTACACTCCTCCTTCTCGCAAACCACATATTAGAAGGAATGCCTTTTTCTTAAACACGCGCGTGCTGCCTAACCTAGAGCAGCGTGATGTGCCTCGAGTAACAGTAGCAAAGCACCAACTTATGGTTGCTGGCCTTCGGGTCTCCCCATACTCCAAGCAGATGCTCGCAGCCCACAAGGAAGGTGTCGTGTTTTTCCGGGCTGGGCATGCAGATCAGAGGGCAGCCAATCCTAGTCTAACAGACAGTGGGGAAGTGCAACCTGGCCACCACAGTCGGCTAAGAGCCATTCTGCGGTTGCGGCTGCGTATGGCGCTCGCGCAAGCCTCCATGCCAGCCGTTCTGGAAGCCATTCTCTGGTTTGGCCGCATCATCTTGGCTCGCTGGTCGCAGGACTGCAGCTTCGTCAGACCTGCAAGAGTGGTATTGCGCCTCAGTGCTCCCATTGCAGTTTGTAAATGCTAAAGCAGACGTAAAATCTACAACCAGCTAAGAAACTTGGAGGACGGTTGAGCTTCGCCTATAGGGGTAAAACACGATTGCAGAAGTGAGCCCTGTTTGCATCACCTCCTCAATCGCTAGTAGCTTCGGCTATCAGTGGACATAGATATCGAGCCGCAAGGAAAGAAACATCTGTACATTTAGCCACTTCAAACTATCCTAGAGTGCCTAATGCAAGTATGGTTGTGAAGTGTCTGCTACGCTGTAATTCTTTTTTTGTGTGAATTGGCAAAGTAGCCACTTCGTGTTCCAAGACAACATGCGCACCTGTGCAACTGCTGTTGCTGCTGCTGCTGATTAATCCCGCTTGAGCTCCTTGTGCAATTTTTTTCATGCTTGGCGCAGCTCTACATTATTTGCCATGAAATACGTGCGTTAAGGAGACTCCTCACCATATGACATCAGTGTAAGGTCTTTTTCTTTTTCCGAACAGTTTCAAGCACTTGTACAGGTCTGCGGTAGAACATCTGCCGGACATGTAGAAGGCCTCGTTTCGATTCCCACTCGGGCTGAATCTTTTTATTATTTATTTATTTTCATGTTGATTTACATCTCGATTTCTGGATCATAAACAATGCTAGTTTTTTGTACTCAGGAGGAACAATGCTAATGCTAACACCGACACCAGAATTCCTGCGAATAAAGCTCTTCAATGCTGTTGCCGTGAAATACGTGTGTTGTTAAATCGCCCACTATTTTCCAGCAGAATGATTGTGTTTGCTTCCCACCGCCGCATAGGTGGTCGTGACTGATACTGTGATGCAAGCCAGGCATATCCCTTCTCATCGAGGCATTAAATCTACTCTCACACCATTACGCAACATAATGAACCCACTAGCGGACGACCACGGCCGCTCTCATGCCAGCTCTCTAAACTTGCTAACTTTAACACCACACACGCTCCTGCAGATACAATAAACAATGAACCATCCGATTAGCCAAAGTATGATTGACAAAGAGCGTAAATTTTTTAAAAAATTCTGTGTGTTATTTCTTTGTGCCTCAAATGCTCGGTAATGCTGCTGTTACTCACGTTCGGTGATGGCCATTGCTGGCAGTCGAAGAGTACATCTTCTCAACCACATCATAATCGCGCGTGTCATCCAGCTCCTGAATGTCACCAGTCACAACCCGCACCGCAAACAGCACGATCATCTGCATCGCACGCAATGGAAAAATATCTCAGCAATCACCTCAGAGGGCAGATCACGTGGGCAAAAAGTCTTGTGAAGAAAATTGCATTCTGCCAATTTAAGAGCCAGAAGAAAGTTTTGAATTGAGAAAAGTAAAAAAAAATGCAGGTTCGGTTTGGGTTTGACACGATTTTTATTATTTCGGTTCCATTCCAGTTGACAGTTTATAGAAAGCAAAGCTGCAGACACTTGAGGCAAAGGTTTACAAAATTTAACCAACGTAGTTCCATAACCTTCATTTGAGACACGTTGCTCAGAGCTAACGACTTGAATGTGCTAGGCTGAAGCAGCCTTGACAGCACTGCTTACATGCAATAATAATATCCGGGTTTTTACGTCCCAAACCACAACACAGTTATGAGGGACTGCATGATGCTCCGGAAATTTTGACCATCTGATGTTCTTTTAACGTGCACCGACATTGCACAGCACACGGGCCTCTAACATTTCAGCTCCATCGAAATGAGACCATCGTGGCTGGGAGCACTCATAAGTCTGCACTTGCAAGTTAACTAGGACTTGTATTTTGCCATTTTTCATTTCATTTCCTTTTGACTTCAAATCATGCGCTGTGCCGAGCACATTCCACGTACAAGGTTTTATCAGGCGGCAGAAGAAATCAGCCCATTGGAAGACGCACAAGGAAGCAATTCCAAAGTTTAAAAAGGCCATACAAATGTCCATGTTGCTGACACACTTTGACCCTACCAAACTCTTTAAGTTGGAATGTGATGCTTCACCTATAGGAATTGGGCCAGTACTGTCCCATCGCATCATTGGCACTGATTATTCTACTGAATTTCGCTTCAGGGCGCTGTACAAAGCAGAACGAAGCCACTTTAAGCTGGAAGAGAAAGCGTTGGCACTTGTATTTGGGGCGACGTGTTTTTGATGCTGATGGCAATCACATTGTTTTGGTGACTCACCATAAAGCTTTGACGGGTACGTTTAACCCAGAAAAAGTCATTCCTCCCACAGCTGTGGCAAGGATTCAGATGCGGCTCTTCACTTGGACCATTACCAGTACACATTTCAGTATCGCAGGGGAGCAGAAAACTCGAATGCTGATGCCTTCAGTCACTTGCTGCTACCAAACAAGCCGCACAATAACAGCACAACAGATCCACCAGAGTATGCCCAGTACTCCGAGTGCTAGGAAAAGTGGTAATCACGGTCAGAGAAGTGGCACATTTTATAGAAACAAATCAGTCACAGCCCCAGTGAAATTTTGGATCAAGAAAGGCTGATCGAAATGTTCGTCTGAAGAGCGAATCCGCTTTCGACCATGCTTCAGCAAGAAGACCGAGTTTCCTCACCGCTAATACAGTCGCCAACCGTTTATTCGGACGCTGAAAATTCGGACATGCCCGTTTATTCGGATATCTTCATGGCACCACCACACTCCCTATTGATCCTAATGTAAACTCACGACCGAAAATTCGGACGCCCCACTGTGCGCCATTCGGACTCCGTTTGACTGACCGGATGCTTCGCCGTACGCCATTACACGCTGAGAGTGACGTTAACAATACGTTTGATAGGTTGCCAGCACTGATATGCTGCACTAGCTATGGATGGATGTCTGGCCAGTGTCAAAATGCACGCAGAAATCACCATTGCTGATCTCGAAGGCTATGTTTGGCGACGCTTTTTTTTAGCCAGTCGAGCGGCCAAACCAAGCCACCTACAGAGTCTGTTCGCTGTGGCGTTTGTCAGCAGTGTCAGTCGGCTGCTTTTGCGGCTAGGCCTGATTCGTCTTGTTGTCTGTGTTCTCGCTCTCTTGCGTGTTCCGTGGCGTGCTGAAATGGCTACAACGCCACCCATTGCTGCGCTGTCGGGAGTGAAGAAACGCGGCCAATGTGGGAGCTACAAGACGCTCACGGTGACGAAGAAAGCGGATATGATTCGCCAGGTAGAAGGTGGCCTACCTCAGTCTGAAGTCTGAATTTTCTATTTCCAAGCAAACCGTCTCGGAAGCGTGCGTATGTGCAGGCATAACAGTTTTTTCGGGCGACAGGGCCTAAAAAAGTGCTTTTTTTTCCTGAGTGAATCCATTTTTTCGGACTCCCGATTATTCAGACGTTTTGGCGGTTCCCGTCGAGTATGAATAAACGGTCGGGGACTGTACTTGGTCTATTGGCGACACCGCAACATGCTTCCCACGGCTCTAAACATAGACTTACTCCATGAGACGCACTCAGGCATGACAACCGCGAAAAGCATAGCAAGATCCCTTATCTGGTTTCCAGAGACAGACTGGCAAAACAGAGCGACTGACACGAACAGTCCCGCTTGTGTACAGGCTGTGGCAATACCTCAGCACTAACATCAGTACTACGGTCCACAGTACATAACTTGCATCGACATCACTGTTTTCACCATCTTCAGGTACCAGCTGGTACCTGAAGGACATTCCACAGATGACATTCCGCAGATGTACTACTGAGAGTGCGTCACGCCTTATAGCAGTTAGTCAGAGGAAGCTGTCACTGGAATGCGAGTTTGCACACTACATATGGGCAATCCATAAGGAAGCCCTTTTCCCCAACTTATTTCACTTGATTGATGAATTCCCTGATTATACCCCGACTTTTTTCAGAGGCTTGAACTCCTGAGTTATCTCTGTTTGCCTGGTCACTACACACTCTGCCGGATTACACCAACATAATGTTCACATAAAATCTAGGTACAAGGAGTCTTCTTGCCTTTTGCCTTCACCGAAATGTTGCCACCATATCTGCTAATCGCAATCGAGCCCTCATGCTTTGCAGCCAAACACCACAGCTGCTAAGATAGCACGGTGGGCAAACAGCTCTTTTAGAACAAGCCTAAGAAAGCCTTCAAGTTGCATGGTTCAAAGAGAATGATGGCATAAGAAGGACAAGACAGCACACAAATCGCAGGATAGTACTTTGTGTACTGACTATGAAGTACGAGCAAACCTTTTATACCATCCTAGAGAGAGAAGTGCAGGAAACATAAAAATGACCTCAAATATATGTAGCAGAGGCCGCACTGAGCGTTTATGTCATTCCTTCCTGTGCGACCAGGTTCCGACACAAAAGCTAAAAAGCCGATCAGATTATTCATTCATACAAGTGCCATTGCAAAACCATGCCACATCCTCAAATGCAGAGAGTCGCCTGAGAATTCAGCATGGTGGGCCACTGAGACCTGCGTCAATGTGTTCACTTAAAATCTCATAATAAATTTAATTTTAAATGTTGAGAGCCTAATATGGTATTTTGACGATTGAAAGGACTTAAGCCATCGACAACAGGAATTGGTTTCTTTTCCTAAATATTTCTCTCACTCGGCATGAATTAAAGCAGACGAAAAACACCTTTTGAAGGCTGTGGAATTACATTGCACCGACGGCAAAGGTGTTTTTTTCATACACATTCATTTCTATTTACATCATAAGTAATACACGACAGCAAAAGAAACAAAGACAAACAGAGTCCCTTACACTCTTCTTAGCTTATAATATCTGTTTTTCTTGTTTTTCTAATTCATTTTAAAGTGACATTATAGCTTATGGTTTTGCTAGCTATCATCATCGCTTCTGTTATTTTCCCTATCTGTATCACATTTTGCTGTCACTGAAGCTTCTGTTGCTAAGTGCACCTTTTTTCGATCTGTGTAGGCATTATCTAGTGCGATGCCGCTGTGGTCTTAAACTATATAAAGTACTGTGGACTAATAAGTATTGAATAACAAATATGTTGAGGACACACCCCAAACCAGTAGATGTTCATGACCAGAAGCACCGACAGTAGTCCAAGGAAGAAGAGGAAGTGTGCTGGAAAGACCTGCTTGACGAAGAGTCCTGTGCTGGCCGCATACATCACCTTGCATGGGTAGTAGTGAAGGCGCATCAAATACCTGCAAACCAATGTTTTTCTCACTCTCACAGTGCTAGCTGTTGTGACTAATTTCATGCTGAGTGCCGAGATCTCGGCCACTGTTACATACTATTTCAATACAGAAGATGACAACGAGTGTTTGCATGCATTGAATTATCACGCAGATGCAAAAAATCAGCCAGACCGTAATTTAATTCATCGTCCTTGGCTTGTTTTGGCTATGGCACACTGAAAACAAATGTTCATTGTACACCTTTACGTTTTATTCATATTGTTCAAAAATACTGAAATTCGAATTGGAGTAAGTGAGAACACCACAATACCAAACTGCACATTTGGAAATATAGGACATTTGCACATGCTTAGTTATCACTGTTTGCTGGAATGATCCCAGGGAACAGAGTACAAATCCTTCTGCATTAAAGGTATCGTAACCACTGTTCCAATCATCAAGTGACCTCATTATCAGAGCTTACTGTCTCGTAAATCTGTGCACTACAGAGCGTACAAGCCCGAGCACTTCTAACAAGTCTTGGCCTTCCAAGATGCTCGTCGACAGTTGAATCTATCGCTATCGCACAAGAACAGCCGGTCAAGACGTATATCATTGTTGAGACACTGAGAGTGCACATTCCGCATTTATCACGGCTTTTGTCACATCATTTAGAATGTCTGCCAGTGCAGAGGCCTCATGCTTCATTCTACCATATTGTGACGAAACACCACAACACATTACTGCTTGGTTTCAAACCTGCGATGCATCCGGAATTTGCGTTGTGGAGTCTCTGTCAACCTGACCTGCACTTATCGGTTCCGGGAATCGTTAAAGAAGGCACGCATGTCACCACTATCCCTGAAGCAGTTGACTTTGCGTCAGTTGAACAATACCTACTTTGACCGCATGCATGTTTACACCGATGGCTCCCCTAATTCCAACAGCTCTACAGGTGCAGTGGTTGCCTATCTGGTAACATATCGCTACAATACAAGTTCTCTCGCATCACAATGTCAACAAAACCAGAACTTACAGCACTTCAAGGTGCGACCAAGTACATTCTTCAGCAGCAACCTAATCAATGGACCATCTCTTGCGACTTGAGGTCAGCCTTACAGACACTACGATTTGCTTTACGGCACGAATTACACGAACAATCAGTATCAGATATGGCACAACTATGACCAAGCTCTCTAGGAAGAGCACGATATTATATTTCAGTGGTTGCCGATTCATTGCTGAATTGTCGGCAAAGACCGCACAGATGAAGCTGCTCAATCGGCTCATGACCAAGACCTGCGGACGCCCATGCTACTCTTGAAAACGGACGCTGTGCAGTGACTACAATTACCGTAATTACTCGAATCTAACGCGCACCTTTTTTCCGGTTAAGCGAGTTCATAAATCGCAAGCACGTTAGAATCGAGTACGAACAAAAAAATTACGGTCAATCTATTGCCATCGGCAAATCCGAAATGGCCGCCCCCTACGTTCGTCGGCATGGCGCGTCGGCCATTTCTGCCTATGTGTTTCTCATGTGCGGCACTTCGTACGTGTGCTGAGGAGTTCGTCATCTAGTAGTGCATTAGCATCGACGGCGTGGAAGGGCTGACTCCAAAAACTCGAGTGCACCACGATGCCGCTTTTAAAAGAAAAGTCATCGCGTGTGCAGAAACGGACGGAAATCGGGCCGCATCGCGGTCGTTTGGAGTTCCCGAAACGTGCGTGCGGGATTGGCGGAAACAAAAGCAGAAGATTGTCGACAGCAAAGCTTCACGTAAAGGCTTCAGAGGACCACAGCAGGGTCGGTTTCCGCAAATTGAAGAGCTGCTCGGCGAGTATGTGCTTGAGCAGCGAGCGGCACAGCGGCCCGTGACGACAGAACTGCTCCAAGTGCGGGCTATGCAATTAGTCTTAGAAAAAGGTCTAATGCGGAGCCAGTTTAAAGCGAGCAGGTGCTGGCTAACTAACTTTATGAAGAGGAAAGGCTTTTCCCTCCGTAGGGGAACATGCATATGCGAAAAGTTTTGCGGAGGAGTACGATGAAAAGCTTCACAGTTTTCAGAGGTTCGTCCTAAACTTGCGGCGCAACAACGGCTACCTGCTTGGGCAAATCGGGAATGCCGATCAGATGCCTCTTTACTTCGACATGCCTGGCACCACAACCGTCGAGAAGAAGGGGGCGAAGCAAGTTCGCGTGCTGACATCAGTCCACGGTAAAACTACAGTGACAGCAACGCTCTGTTACACGTCAGCTGGGCACAAGCTTCGCCCATACCTCATATTTAAATGGAAGACGCTCCCGAAAGGAGTCGTTTTTTCGAGCGGTGTGATCGTGCGGGCCAGCGAGAAAAAATGGGTGCACGTTGCAATCGATGTCTTACGTATTTTTGTTTTTTTCCGCGGTAAAAATCGGGTGCGCGTTACAATCGAGGGCGCGGTAGAATCGAGTAAATACGGTATTTGCTCGCTGTATCGCGCTTCCACAATAGAATATGCAGGGTTTCTCCAACGCGTGCCTGTATTCGATCGATTCAAACTTGCAACGTTGTTTGCCATCCTGACTCTCACGACATGATGAAACTTTGCGGTGTTGCATGTGGTTGGCATTGGCATTTACGAATGCGTACTCGTGCCTCAGTGGAATGGCCAGCAGTGTGGCATTTGCGCCTGTGAGAAGACGCTGGAGCACATTTTATGTCACTGCCCATCATACCAATCTGAATGATGTGCTATAGAAGCAAAGCTCCGTCACCTGGATTCACGAGCACTTGCAGAAAAAAAAAAAACTCATGGGACCTTGGCAGACGGTCTTGCATACGCGCAAAGCCATAACCCAAGTTTGGTCGACCTCTCTGCCTTTCCTCTCCATTTCTCTCTCTCTCATAAGTCAACTGCAGCAAAAATTTCTCTTTGCCTTTCCTCTCCATTTCTCTCTCTCTCATAAATCAACTGCAGCAAAAATTTCTCGAAGCCTTTCCTCTCCATTTCTCTCTCTCTCTCATAAATCAACGGCAGCAAAAATTTCTCGAAGCCATTAAAAACAAGTGGAGTTAAGGGCCTTGTTTCGCTGCTTTAAGTGATTTAACTCTCTTTTTCACCTGGATTAGTTTGCTGAAAGCTAAGCAGGGAGAGATTAGATGGGGGAAAGATGTTACGTCAGTGCGCGTCGTGACCTTGAGCACACCGAATGGAATGCAATCGGTCTCTCCCGTTATTATTGTGTATAAGTGTGCCTCACTGTGTAATGTTAGCGTGCTATAGAGCACTGCACTGGCATCCCGTGGCAAGAAGCGTATTTGATCCAAATGCTGCACTTGATTTATGTCAACTATTGGCCAACCAGCTACCAGCTCTTGACCTCAAATAGCGGGTGCCGGCGCCTACAAAATTAGTGAGGGCAGGCCTCTGTATAAGAAGAGGGCACCCGAAAAGATGGCAACTTGACACTTCACTTGAAATTTCTTGTCGTGCATGACTGCAAGATTTGGCTTATATGTTCATCGCAGTGTCTCCTATCTGCAGGATGTGTTTTCTTGACAGGCCCGAGGAAATGGCTCACGACTCTTTTAAATGACTTCTGGGCTTGGATAACATGAGGAAAAAGAAAAATGCAGCACTGACCAGGTGATGGCAAAGCAGACAAAGGCAGCGGAGGCAATGCGGTCGTGCACGACGTGCTTGCGGCCAGCCCGCACCTTGAGGTACACGTTGAGCTTGGAGAACTCGAGCAGCACATCTGACAGGTCGTGCAGCACCAACACTAGAACACCTATGTTGTGGCACCTGGGTGAATGAGGGAAAGGCAGATAATCAAACCACTGACACACATCTCAGCAGAAGGGAACGTTCCAATAAGGTACAAACGACCACCCTAGTCAACTGCACAAGAAGTTTTCTTTGCACCAAACAGCAGGGTTGTGTGATTTTGCGAAACTTCAAATATTTTTTCAATAGTGTTTGCTATTCAACTCAATTCACACTGGAATTTTTACTATTTGAATTATTGAAACTTCCCAGAGCTGATTTGGTTGATAATACGGATGAACATCCGCTCTGATTAAGTACCACACTGGCCAAGCGCGAATAAAATGATAAGCATTGGAACCAGAAAAGGCATCGCTCTGCAGTTGCACTCAGCAGCTGCGTGAAGGAAACCGTGAACTGAGTGACTGAGCTTCAGCTTGGATCGTCTGCGGCTCGAAAGCAAGCCAGAGGCAAAAGCAGAGTCTGGCAGGGCAGTCTCATTGCTATCCCTATCGAGCAATGGCGGCGCCCATGCTTGCTGAACAGTGGCGGTTTCTGGTAGTGCCAACGCGCGTTTTAGACTTCTTCGACGTATTTTCAGGTTCTAAAAATGCATCAAAATGTTAATGATTGGGTCTTCTGTATAGCAATAAATATCTGAGACTGGAATTGTACTGTGAAATTTCATTGAAGAGGGACGGCAGAAAAAAAAAGTGTTCGTTGTGGCGACAATATTTACGCATTGACTCCTATAAACTGCTGACGGAATTCCATGAATTTTTCGTTGTAGGGGAAATTTCGTTGAAGCGGCGTTTGTTGTAGCGGGGTTTGACTGTATCCGTATTTGTCATATTGAGGTTTCAGTGTACTCATTGAATAAACTAGGCATTAGGGTTCATTGCCTCACAAATTAAACGCAAAGAAAATTTTTTGAGTTTGTCGGGAACAAGCAGAGTTACAGGGGTTTGTCGCATACTTTTTATTTTGTCTCGACAAGCACCCTGGAGGCTACAGAGGGAGGGGAAATGACAAAGGGAGAAAAGAAGTTGTGACCGACCACGTCATGACCGTCAGCAAGCGTCATGAAACAGGATCCCTCTTTCCCCATGTGATTCCAGCAGATGGTAGTGTTACTAATGTGTTATTTTTGCACACCATGGAGTGCGACACTGGCACGTTGCAGTATCCCGCGGCAAGAAGCGCATCTGATCCAAAAGCCCCTCTTGGTCTAGTGACCTGCTAGCCAATAGCGCCATTCTGGTGTATGACACCATACAACGGCCACCAGCAGCTCCATAGATAGTGGGGACGCACTTCTGTATGGGCAGGGTGCTTGACAAAGTGGCAACTTCACACCTCACTTGTATGCTCTCCTTGCCAAGCACGAATTAAAGGTTTGAGTGTGGAGTTCACAGCGGCATCTGCTTTCTGCTGTGAGTGTTATATAACCAAGCACGAAGGGAGGCTTAGAAAATCCTTAAAAAGCAATCCACCACTACTGCAAGCACAAAAAGCTTCAGAAAAAAATCTTGCTTCAACACATCCAGTAATTATGGCTTTCACCTCTGCTCTTTACTGAAGATCCACCATTGCTCATGGCAAAAAGAATTGTTTATTATCCAAACCTTCATTCGTCAATGTCTTTGCTCTGCATTTTCTACATTAAAGGGTGTTTGCACAGACACCACACTTCTCTCTGGCATCTGTGTTGGGTGAGTTTCTAGTGTTGTAGCTGAGGAGTCCACCAGAAAATGTATAAACATGATGACGATAAAAATTTCGAAAAGCAACTGTTGTGATAGTAAAAAATATGTACGAGTAGCTACAGAGGAATCACTGAAAGAATGTGCCAACCTATCCTAATTACTATGCTTGTGCTATGCTGACCAAAATAGGGAGGAAAGTAATGTCAAATGAACGTTTTGAACAACTGCTAAGTATTTGAATATTCGACCCTCTTCCGAGTTTGGTTGGACAGCAAAATATTAAGGCTGCTGAAGTTCAATATTTTCCTGGTTGAGTGAAATATGACGTATTGAGTGTCTGCAGCATTTATAGCTAGCCTGTTTTCTGTAAACCACTTATTCATTATTGCTATTTCTTACGATGTAATGTCTTTCAGTGACAAAAGTACATCAGCTGAGTAAAACAATACTGTGTCACCAGCATACATTAAAACTTTTGTGAAGTTAAGAGCATGCGATAGGCCATTCACAAATAAAGAAGACAGAATGAGACCCAGAACCAATCCTTTGGTATCCTGCATGTGACATGAGTGAAACTAGAGCAACATTCGTTAATTACTTCTTGCTGTTTTTGCACACGTAAATCGCTCTGGATGAATTAAGGCACGCTTTCATAATCTCCATAAGACTCTAGAATTATGAACAGTCTAGCGAGAAAGATTGTATCGAATGCCTTTCTTATATCATGAAATACTGACACTGCAATATCTTGCCTGTTTATAGCTGTGTTAACGAAATGTGACAAAGTTGACATGGTGGTTGAAGTAGATCTACCTGCAATGAAGTTATGCTGCTCTAGGCAGATAATGTTGTTAACAAAAAATGCATTTAATTGTAGTGCAATGAGTTTTTCAAATATGGTGTTCACTGTGCAGAAAATAGTTACTGAGCTACAATTACCCCGGTGGCTCGAATCACCAGTTTGGTACACCGGAATAACCTTACAGGCTTTCGACACATTTAGGTAATGGTTCTTGCTCATTGTGTAAGTGGCAAAGGGGCCTGCACAACATATCGATACTGTTTTTCAGGATCCTAACCTAAATACTGTCGAGTCCAGATGCCTCATTATAGATGTTCATAAGCACACTTTCCTAGAATAGATTTTGCTCCATCAAGTGTTATTTCGCAAAAATGAAAGTTGCCTTCAACAGATCTTTCAAGCCTGTTGTGGAAACTTTAAGGGCAGACTGTTTGTATAAGTCCTCACTAATTCTTGAGAAATGACCATCAAAGTCATCAGCAATTGAAACAGATACATTTCCTGGGGTAACAAAGCCTACCTTCAAATCCCACTACATCTAAAAATTCTCAGTATTTGCTTTCTATCGCAATTTTGTCGTTTAACTAGGTTGATGTATTGAGTCAACTTTGCTTTCCAAATGACCATAACTGATTCATTTCAGGAAAACTTAAACTGGCTATTGTAATACTTATTGGCTTTGTTGTAGTGTAATTTATTGTAAAAGTAAACCTTTTTTTTTAAAATACCGTATTTTTGCGCGTATAACCCGCACCAAAAACCCAAAAATTTCAGTGGCAAAGTGGAGACGCTGATAATAAGCGGGGTTTTTCCTATAGTGCTGCTTCACAGCAATGCGTGTTGTGCTGTGAAGCCCCTTAACAGTGTTGCGAAGGCTACGGATGCGGTTTCCGCAAATTCATGTTGCTCCGCAAGTAGCACGGCAGCTTGCGGCTGATCTTGGTTTCGCTTGCTTGCATCGTTGAAGCGTTTAGAAAAACATTTGGGGAGAGACAATTCGATTGTTCAGTGTAAAATCTCACTGTCACACCACAAGTATATTTTTTGGACGTTCGCGGTCGCTCAGTGACCCTCCACACGTCCCTACGTCACGGACACCATGTTTACTTTTGGAAAGGGCTTGCCGGAAAGGTGGTTCTGTCTAAGAAAGTTCCATAATAAATAAAGTAAGTTCCATAATAAATAAAGCAGTATTTATTTCAGCAAGGCAAATGAGATGTTATAGTGCCTATAGAGATTATCAGTAAATTAATGTACTATTTTTTAATGTGGTAGCAGTTGTTTCCAGGGTGCTGTTACAGTGTACTAGAAGGGGTAGTGCTGTCAAGTTGTCGCCGAGTGTGAGCGCTCTTTACCTCGCTGATACCGCTAGTTCTCCACATCTCGACCCGTTCGCCAAGCCTAAGTCGATCTGTTCTGTCACCATAAGTAGCGTACGGCGGCAGGCCTTCACGGCACAGCAAAAGCTTAAGATCATCGACGTCGCCGAGAAATTTGGAAATCGCGAAGCGGGAAGACGGCACGATGTGGACGAGTCCTGCGTGCGACTGTGGAGAAAGAAAGAGAGCCTACAAGCCGCGCACCGCGACTGTAGGTCATTTCGTGGCCCCAAGACCGGTGCCTACCCTGAGCTGTAGGCGGAGCTAGTAAAGTTCATCGAAGATGTGAGAAGCAGGGGTCACGCCGTATCGACCGAGATGGCCCAAGTGGAAGCGCGGCAACTTTCGAGGGAGTTCCGTGCGAGCCGCGGATGGCTGCACCGCTTTATGAAGCGGCAAGGGCTCTCAATCAGACGGCGAACTACAATATGTCAACGCTTGCTGGCTTCTTATGAGGAGAAGCTACTCAAGTACCAGAGATATGTAATTGGCCTGCGAAAGCAGCACAATTACATTTTCTCGCAAATCGGCAATGTGGATGAAACTCCTGTTTATTTTGAAATGCCGTTGAACACAACGATTGAGAAGACGGGCAGCAGTTCGGTGAGCGTGCTGACCGGCGGGAACACGAAACTGCGCATCACAGTCTTGCTTTGTGCCCTCGCCGACGGCACGCAACTGCGACCGTACGTCATCTTGAAAAGGAAAACTCTACCAAAGGTTAATTTGCCTGCCGGTGTGGTGGTGCACGCACACGAGAACGCGTGGATGAACAGTGACTTGTTCGTAGACTGGATCAAGACGGTATGGGAGAAGAGGCCCGGTGCGATGCTCGCAAAGAGGCCCATGCTCGTTCTTGACTCGTTCCGCGGCCACACAACTGAGGAAGTGAAGAACCGCCTTTCACGCAACGGCACCGCCTTAGTTGTTATTCCCGGTGGAATGACGTCAATGTTGCAGCCTCTAGATGTGTCGCTTAACAAGCCCTTCAAAGTGCATGTCAAGCGCTATTATGCCAAGTGAATGGCCGAAGGTTGCTACGACTTGACGCTGACAGGACGAGTCCGAAGGCCTGACATTGCCCTATTCTGCAAGTGGATTGTCGAGGCATGGAAGGCCATTCCAGGTGAGATGGTGCGAAAAAGTTTCAAG